TGTATGTATGTATGTATGTATGTATGTATGTATGTATGTATGTATGTATGTATGTATGTATGTATGTATGTGTGCATCTATCTGTCTATCCATCTCTCAATCTTTTGCCGTCGCTTCCTGGCCGCTGCGCTTGCGCCGGCGCCGGATGCGGTCCAAAGTGGCCAATGTGTCAAGGCTGTATCTGTCTATCTGTCCGTCTATCTGTCTATCTATCTATCTATCTGTCTATCTATCTATCAGGACCTCTACACACGTACATGTATTTGTATGCATGTAAGTATATGTTTGTATATGTAAACTTGCATGTAGCAGTTTGTTTAAAATACCAGTCTGTAAGCCAACTATATTTTCTCAACCTTTTGACCATAATTTTTTGGAGTCAATTTTTGGATTCTAAACTTAGGTGTTCATGTGTTGCGCTCCACACCTCCTGTTTGTAGCTGGAGCAATCTCCACTCAGGGGGTTGGCTGCGCATGCTGCTTCTGAACTGTGCGGTCCAGTGATGCCTGCAAACCCTGACCGTCGCGTCGCCCACAGGGCTCAGGGGTCAGGTCCATTTTTGTGGTGATGCCAAAAAAATGGTGTTGGCCAGAACTTGTCCCCAGGAACTACACAGACCGAAGGGGAAGTAGAAAATGTTTTGGATCCTCCAAGTAGCCAACTTTCCAACAAATTCCCTTTATGGAACGATTCTCATTTGTGCAACTGGTGCCTTCGTTTGAGAATATGATTGGGACTCGAACTTCAACCCTTTTTAAGGGGAACATGACAAAAAGGTGTTCGATTCTTTTGCTGAGGTGCACATTTTGGGGGCTCACCATCTATTTGCTGTGTGGATCGGGTCGTTTCTTGTGTGAGTAGGCTTGAAGAGAATTTCTTCGCGTCACCTCATTTGCACGAGTCTTTCTTGGTGGAGTCGTGCGCCCACAGTGTGTGGGTGGTCACACGGAGATTGCTGTGACCAGAATGGGCCATGAAACTTTTGGTTTTGACAAGTAGTAGTCCTTCACTGCTGAATCTACACGACCCATGGTCATGCGTCCAAACCAAAGGTCATAGTTTGTGTAGACATGAGCAGACGGAACACCGCTGCACCCAAAACTGTGGTAGATGAACGTCCCACAGCGGAGAGTTCTGCTGATGTTCGTGGGGTTTTGTGGGGTGTTCATGCTTTTGACTCAATTTCGTGTACAGGCATAGAAGTGGAACCGGGCCCGAGCCCCAATGAAATGTAATGTGGCCTCTTGAACGTTTTCCATGTTTATACGATAGTCGCTTAGTAAATCAGCACTAAGGCCCATGTGCAAGATTTTGGGGGGCACAAGGGTTTGATTTGCTTTGTCGACGCTTCCCAATTTTGTATAACTCGGATTCGCATAGACTTGGGAGCCTTTCTCACTGCCTGGTCACTGGCACCGGGATTGATTGCCCCACAGCCACGCAGGGTTGGCGCCTTTGATGCGGCTGACCCCTCCACCAAACTCACAACTCAGCCGGGGTAGATCCATGGGACTTGGAGATGAGCGATGGCTAAGGGGGTTGTTTTTTGGACACGGCAGGGGTGGAGATGGAATGTTATGAATTCCACCTGGTGGAATTGCTGAAAGGTCCAGGCTCAGTGGACAAGACTGATTTGCCATGATGCTGTCACACATTTGCACTCCCTGGATCTGCCACGCATGTGCTTGTTTTGAAGTTCAAAGCTTCGTGAAATGAGCACATCACAGTACAGACTTGCAAAACATGTGGGAACTGGGCATGAAGAGCATGTCCAGAGCCACCAAGAGCATGTCCACCAAAAGCGCCAAAGCAGGAGGCGGCTCCCCGCATACTCATAAAAGAGTGGTGTGGGGAGGAGTCATTTCGGAGGCTTCTTGCCTGACAACCAGGCCCGGGAGCATCTGCGAGTTTTGCCCGGAGGCGCTGGACGACAGGTCCTGCGTGGGAAAAGGACAACTCAGCGAGCTTCGGGAATGCCATAGAAGCTTTTTCTTGGTTGATGTTGAAAGGTTATTGTAGGATGAAAGGTGGTCAATTTTGTGAAGATTTGAGCTTGAAACTATTCAAGTCTTTTTGTATTTCCAGGCTATTGAGTGACAGGAAACCTCCGCGACCTTGTCAGGTCATCCCTTTCTCAATCCATCGCCCGTACCAAACCGATCAAGTGATCGACGTGCTGAGGCTGGAAAACACAGACACCCAAATGGCCGAAGCCTCTGGCTGCAACACAGTTGGCGGTGGCTGTGTTTAGCGTGTTATGTTTGGACAGTGCCAGATCTGGAGAGAAGGTTTGATGCGCCATGGTGGCTGAAGATAAAATGCAAGAAATGCATACCAAATGAAGGGCGGCCTTTCAGATCACTGAAGCCATGTCAATGGAGTTTGTTTAGGTACCGTTGAGGAACCTCAACATGCTGCTAGCTCTTAATATTTTACCAAACACTTTCTGCATGCCAGACGCCCATCCAAACCAACCTCCCTCCACCAAGCAAGAGAAAGAACCACCCAAGTTAAGCTAGCCACACACACACAGAGCCAGTATGGATCCACAAATTGTTTTACATGGAACATGTGTTAGCGTGCCTTTGCATGGTTGGATCTTTGCCATTTGGAGGAAACAGCAACCACCGAGCACTGAGGAACCTGAAGAGGAGCTCCTCACGGAAGATAAGAGCCCAGATCAAACTCCACCAGAAGCGTTGGGCCCCCTGAGTTGCTGGTGAACCCCCAAGAGCAAGCGTGCAGCTCCAACAACTAGTGAATTACTTCTTCTCAATGCTTTAAAAGCGAAATCTTACTCCATGGCTAGTTGGCCTTTCTTGCAAAAGCGCAGCTGCTTTGGGAGAAGTCTTTGACTTCTCAAATCGCCGACTCAGCACCGCACTTTGCGAGGCAGCCGCAGGAGGAGATGGACGAAGAGGAGCTCCAGTCTTGCTGGCGATGTTTCTCACGAGCACCGCAAAATTTTTGTCGTTGTACAATGGGACACAACGTTTGTTGCTTTGTCCCAAGACTATATCAAACTGGCCGGAAAGAATCTACACACTTGCTCTGGATAACCAGAGTTGTCAGTTGAACTACACGGAAGTCAAATACGAATGTTCACATGACCAAGATTTGCCGGTTTCTTTGCTCCTTTCCAGTTTGTTTTTTTGTTATGTGAACATTTGATTTGCTACGCTCATTTCTGGTCCAGATGGGCACCAGGCGGGTTGCGGCTTGGACTTCAACCGCTTTCCCGGGTTTTCCACCTCTTGGTCGCATGCACATGCTTTGAGGTTCAGCACTTTCAAGCTTTACACTTGATCTTCTTTAACAGATTGCAAGCACGCAATGAGCCTTCCAGGTATTTGGAAGACTCCACATATTCCAACCTCCTGGTCCCTCTGAACTGCCAGGCTCAAAAAGGATCTGCAACGCTTCATTCTTCAACACAAGGCCCTACGCGTTGAGCATTTTTTTCCTCTTTCAGGGACCGGCTGTGCTGATGTCTTCGTTTGTGCAAAACCTGGGGCGGACCCGGATGCCTATCGTCCGGGTTGCCTCAACAATTTGTCTTTATTTGTATATCATGTAGTATCTAAGCACTCCCCCAACATTAGGAACCAAATGAATAGTGCACGCGCTTCTTCAAGGAAGCTCCCCCCGGCCCTCAGGCGGGGGAGCTTCCTTGAAGAAGAGTGAGCTATCCTGCGTCCAGTAGGTAGGTTACAAGTAGCACCTGAGCCTGAGACGTTTTCGCTCTTGGGCGAGGAACCGGTGCCACAGTAGGGGACTTCCGTGGATTAATGCACTTCCAGATGAAGAGGAACATCATTCAAAACTTACTTTGTGACTGTCTGGCTGGTTGCTAGTTTGTCCCGTTCTCCAACTCCAGCATGGAAGGGTTAACTCTTGCATTTCTCCTAGCCAAAAATGATGATCCTAGCTTTTAGAGCTTTCAAGCCAGGCTGAGGCGGACGACATGTTTGATGAAACGGCGGATGAGGCCTGCCACTGAGCCAGCTTTACCACATATCATGAAACGCAAAGGAAATTCTATCCAGGATCATGCATTGGGATCACTCATGTACCAAAACTGAAGGACTTGATGCAAAGAACTTGGTGTGCTCGGCTAAACTTGTTTTGATGCAGTTGAGAAGTTGAGAAGTAGCTTCCAGGATGCTATTCGCAAAGCTGCGAGTGGGCAAGCAAACGCCATTAAGCAGCTGGGGAACCTCAGAAAGAAGCAATGCCCTACAGCTAGGATCAACAGCTCCTTGCCGGTGAATCCAGCCCTTTAGCACATTAGCACAAGAATAGGAATTGCTGGTCAGCAAAAGAGGCTCTGGTGAACAGCTTTTCTGAGGACCGGGGCTTCAGCCGACGACTGGGATGATACCGAGGGGTGACCCAGTGGTGGCTCAAGTTTCCTCCCATGTGCACGGAGGGCATGTACAAAATCTAGGAACCAAATCATCGTAGCTTAAGTAGCTAGGAGCGACGTTCTCCCTTACTTAACTAAATAAATAGGCGCCTACTTAATTAAGTAGGAGCGGGCTTCAAAAAGCATGTTCTGGCGGCAGGTATTACAAGGCAAAGATCGGGGAAGTCATGGGCGACAGGTACGAAGTCACTGAGGCGGCAAAACCAGTCGGGCGAGATATTCATGATATTGAACCTTTATGCGCAGGTGCCAGATCTTTCCTTGGTCGCATGGCAAGGAATAAACCCCTTGCAAGCCCAACCGCAAATGCCTCGACTCACGCCTGGAAAACTTCATGCAGCTCAGATCCAGGCTAGATCTCTTTCTTTTGCCTCCACTAACCTCTTCATCTTTGTAGGACTTCGTTGGGAAAGGCGTCTTCTCCAATGTGTGCAAGGCCAAGGACAAGGCCGCTTCGCTGTGGTGCTTCTCTGATGCTTCAGGATCTAATCTTAGTGGGCAGAGATTGCTTGAGGATGAAGATCAAATTGTGCCACCGTTTGGGGTGGCTCATGATCTGCTTGTGATCCTAGCAGGGGATCAACCAATGTGCTTATATCGAATTGGCGGTCAATCTGTTTATTTTGGCGTTCCCCACCCACAAGCCGAACTTTGTTTCTTCTGTTATTTCAAAGAGCAGCAAAAGGTGCTAGACTTGTGCCATGTGAGTGCATGCGAGGTGGATGGCTCGATGGTGGCCATCAAAGTTATGCGCGCCAACGATATGATGACAAAGGCTGCTTGATGCTTTTTTCTTCGGGACTTGGGATAGCCAGGCAGATATATAATAAACATCATGTAAAACTAGTGTAATTGAAACATTTGGTTGAGTTGACATATATATATATATAGATACACATATTTGACTCGTGAACTTGTCATGCGTTGTCCTCTTTGTTTGGTGTTGGAGTTCAGGGTGTTGGGGTTGGGTAGCGATGGTGCTTGCAGTCGGGCGATCCCAAGACGAAACTGGAGGCAATCTGGCAAACGAAGAGCAGGGAACCTCCCCAGTATTGTCTCTCTCCCTGCGAGAGTACAGTTCGGCAAGAGCCACTTCGTTTCTCTTATGAAGGGAAGAGAGCTTGGTTTTTGGCCAGCCGGGAATAAACCTTTCTTCAGGTACATCTTGGACGTTCACTGGTTTTCAAGCCATGGTGATGGCGTTGTGGCTGAAAGAGATACTCAAAGAGGCATCTTGTATGCCAAAACACTTTGTGGAAACCCTGCTCCGCGAAAGGTTGTTCCCCATGCAACATCATACAACATCATACAACTCTCAAACAGTCATTCCTGAACCATGGAGCCAATTTAGATTTCTCGCCTCCGCTTGTTTTCCATCCCTGCATGGCCACGTGATGAAAGCGCGCTGGCCGAGGCGGCGAAAAAGGAGGTGGAGATCCTCGAACGGCTGAACAAGGCCGACAAGCAGAACAAGAGGCCAAAATCCGCTGGTGGTGGAGATCCTTGGGCCGTGGTTTTCTGTGCTAAGGAACCATGTGGGATTTCGTTATGTAACTTCATTCGGGGGCAGTTTGAGATCTCGGCTTGTTTGTGTGTTAAAAGTCCGGCCCATAGGATACTGAGGTGGTTGAGAAAGCCTGCAGTGGAAGCGCGGTCCGTTTCCGGGACGGCGGCAGCCAGCCACAGCGGGTCATGACGATGTGACCATATACTGTGCATGTGGAGAGATTTTGAATCAATTGGTGCATCTCAGGCTAGCCAACTTCTGCGGGGTCGCGCCATCAACTTCTTGAAGCCATTTTCTTCTATTGGCAAAGTGGAAACCCTACCACTAGTAGCCGTTGGCCAGAAAACCCCAAACCATACCGCTTGCAGTTGCCCAAACAGTTGGCTACCAAGGCAGAATGCTCCCACGTAGCCAAAGCACACAAGAACCCTTCAACAGCGGCAGCTCATCAGGTGCTGGGATACCGCCCACATTCCCTGTTGGCTTTTTACTTGTGAACACCAGAGCGGCTGCCCAATGTCAAGTGGCGGCCAGGCATGTAATTCGACTACATCGGCATTTTATGTACCGTGGACATCTTTGTTTGGTGTTCGAGACGCGGCCTCAGAGGGAGTTTGGGACTGGAAATGGATCAACTGGGGGTCTGGAAGTGAAGCCAACAAATAGGCCGGCGACTTGGTTTTGTGTCTGTTGGTTGGACTCCCGAATAATTTCTATCGTGCCCATCAGGGGACAAACATATGATCACACAAGACCATATTAGACCAACCCTATTCAAAACGGACCCCAAACCAATCGTTCGGTGAAAGGTCTTGAAATTGATCACTTTGGCCTTGGGTTTCACCCACATGATGGGAACTACCATATTGTTTGTGTGGGGCAGCTCGACCAGTTGCACTCTGGTGGTTTTACTTTGCGACTGGCAGGAACATCCCGTGTTCAGTCCGCAACGCAGGTGCATGTGGGACAACCTTAGGGTGGCCCTCAAGAAGTGCCCGTTCGGCCGTTCCATGTACAGTTTGCGGGTTGGCTGACAGATGACGGTTGGGATGGGTCAACCAACTGTAGATGCTTGGTGTGTATGGCAATGGTGCTTGACCCACACCCATCTCGCAGTCACAACAAGAAGTACTTAGCATTTCCATCGCTTCTCTAGTGCAAGCTGCTTGCAAAAACTGTGGCTTAGTTCTTGCTGCTGTTCATTTTTGGCCAACTGATAAGACTACAAGCTGAAGTGATATACGATGCTTCAACCCCCTGCGGGGCAGAATTTGGTTGCCCAATGCAGCCAACCTACAGTCTTTTTTTCAAACGGAGAGTGGAAAGGTTGGGAGCTGTTGTGCGGAGCAAGCTCAAGCGGTAAGCTTTAGATGGAGCATATCGGAGGGATTGCATCCCTGTTGTAATGGACCGGAAACCTTTTTGTATCGGGTCTTTGTTCAGGTGAAACTTCAATGTGTTCCTGGATTTATATAGAAAGGTGCACTTGCGACTTTTCTTTGTGCTCCACCCGGAGTAAATGTTGATCCAACCCTGACATCCTCGAGGTACACCAAGGACAAAGGCATGTCTTTGCAAGCAGTCCGTGCGTGCGCCATGCTGTTGTGGCATCAACGCTGTTGGGCTTGTCAGCTATTGTTGATGCACAGTGGTGATGATGTGCCGCCGCAAAGGCTCTGACAACTCTGACCGTAAAGATGTCACGAAGAATTGAAGACTGGAGTTCCTTCTCAGCAAACTGATAGAGATGGGTCCGATTAACTTTTCTGCCTAGAACTGTGTAGAATTTTGGCTTGGAATTGCACACGTGTACATTTTTTCTAATAGAAACACCACATGTTTCCTTGTGTTGGATATATGGCCCACCTGTATCCCAAGCAAAAACGATCGGCGTGCACGTTTGTTTGCTGCTCGTTTGAATGATGAACCAGGATCCAAGAGCCCAAAGCAAATGGAATAAGATTGATTTACTCTTCACCCAGGTGGAAGAACAAAGAGTGCACCCTTGTTCTCTTTTTGAGGGAAAGATGTCCCATTCGTTCGCCGTTGCTTTCGAGCACAAAATGCCTGCAGTGACTGCAGTGGTCTTTTCACATCCCAAGAGCTGCACTTATCCAACTGCCGCAAATCAGTACTGGTACCAGGTACACGCGGCAGCTGCTGACTGCGCTGCGGCATTTGCATAAGTGCCGTGCCAGAAAGGCTTCGGTGTGTTCAGTGACTTGTGCTCTCCTTTCTGGTTGATGTGATAAGAAGCAGGCTTTTTGGAAGGGTGCTAGAAAGATGGACGATTCATTTGGGAACATGGGTTCCCAGTTTTCCGGATTGAGAGAATGCGGCTTCCTTGTTGTGTTTTAACTGTAGCTCTTCCCCTCAACTGCCGCAGTGGAGTAGTGGGCCTGGTGTTGCACCCGGGGATTGAACTCAGGTCCGACGCATCCCTCATGCGTCGCCACTAGACACCAGCCGTCGAGAATTTCGCTTCTTCATATAGTTGCTTTTGAAACGAAGATGCAACAATTTTTCAGTTTTCATGGAGTGCCCAGGAGTCCAGAAAACGATTGAGGTGTGGAATTATCCACGCTGACATCAAGCCGGACAACATCTTAATCAGCGCTGGCCACAATGTCGTTCACCCCTCAGCCTTTTTTGTCTTTGCCTAGCGCTGTTGATTGCTTAGGCTTACGTGAAACGAGGAATGATGACCTGTCGAAAGTAGGTTGACACAGTTTTGAGTTACTTCACTTTCATTGCCCAGCCCACCAAAACCATCTCCATCTCAGCAAGCCCAGCATCACTTCACCATCCATGTTTGTCATTCTTTGGGGGGGCTTCAGACCAAACAGAGACCATCCTTGCAGTTGAACCCGTAAACATTGCCACACCCCCTGAACTTTGGACTTCCTAGAGGAGGCAAGTCTGGAAAGGCAAAAGAAATCAAGCAATATGACATGTCATAAGTAGTATGTGTATGTATGTCTATTCTGACTTCAGTTGTCACTTTCGCTTTGAATGCATAGATTTGTGTATGCCGTGTGGCCATTTAACCTTAAGGGCCCTTGAGCGCGGTCAAGCTACGACCTTCGTTGAAAGGTTGTCACGGACTTCGGGAGCCGAACGACTTCGATTACATTCAGATTGGTAGCGGAGCTGGCAGCGCTCCTCTCTGAAGGCTCCTTCGGTGACCTTTTTGATTGCCGAATTCAAGTACATCCCCGTAAAGTTCGAAGGTGTGTTCTTTGACAATGTCGTGCGTTGAAAGGAGCCCACGACGGACCCCTATTCGTCGTGCCAGGACATCTAATCCTGGAACAGCTAGCATTGTTGGTGGTGGTCGTGGAACAGGTGGTTTGTTCACGAATGTTGAGTGAGATGAGCCTGGATTGCAGTTGCCTTTTGCACCCAACCAGAGCAGGGGTCTTGACTCAAAATTGGCCAAAGCATGTCCCTCATCGGAGAACTTGACACAGAAGACGTATCGCAGCTACCGAAGGAGGTTGGAGTTGTTCAAGAAGCAATGCGATCGTCGTGGAAGGGACACAGCTGTCGAAGGTGCCTTCCTTGTCATTAGTCGCCTTCGAGATGTGGCTTGGGATGCAACGGAACAGTTGAGTTTTGATGAGGTCGAAAAAGCTGCAGACCCTTTCAAGTTGGTATTTCGCTTGCTTGACGAACTGTACCAGTACGAAGACCTCATTGAAGTTCCGTCCCGGTGTGATGAGTTTTTCTCAGATTTTTCCAGGAAGAAGGGCGAAGAGCTGCAGGCCTATTTGATCAGGCATCGCACCCTCCTCAAACGAATGCAGAAGTGAACGTTGAGGTTCTTCCACTTTTGTCGGGTTGGCATTTGTTGACAAGAGCAGGTGTTCCGAGATGGACTCATGTTCAAATCAAGGCGATGTGTGCAGGAGATCTTGAGTATGAGAAAGTTGGAAAAGCACTCATTCGCATGTTCGGAGGAGACCACCAGCCAAATGCCAAGGACTTGGCCATTCGTTCCTCTCCTACTTCCAAAGAAGAAACATTCCTTGAAGAAGATGATGAGGAATGGTATGAGGAAGACGAAGAGGCCTTCTATGAAGAGTGGTACGATGACGAGATCTATGACGAAGAAGTACCAAGACGTGGAAGCCTCCACATTTGCATTGCCTGAATGGGATTTCAAGAATCCTGATGTCCGAGCTGAATTCATTCAGCTTCGGAGAGAGGTGTCGCCTGACTTCGTTTGGTTGGCTCCTCCATGTCGGAAGTGGTCAGCAATGCAGAGGCTCAATCGGAGGACGCCAGAACAAAGGACAGCGCTTCAAGAAGCCAGGCAAGAGGAAGCGCACCTCAATTTGGTGAGCGATGTCTCAGAAGTCAGCAAGGAGATTGACAGTTCCTATGCTATGGAGCATCCACATGGAGCTGAGTCATGGGAGTCGAGCGCGATGCAAAACATGAAAGGCTACTACGAGGGAGTCTGCATCGATGTCAGACTGGTCCCTACTATCGTGACGAGTATCAAGAAGGACCAGTTCGAAAACAGACTCGTATCAGAACAAGTTGCAGGAGGGTAGCCGAAGCTCTGCATATACCATGTCGCTGTGAATGCAAATAACACATCCCCATGGATGGAAAAGCTCAGAAGCTGAGAGAGATGCAAAACTACGAGACGAAGTTCACTCAGATCGCTGGGAAGGCTATCTATGAGACAATGGATGAGAACTGGCGAAGAAAAGAGATTGTGAAGATCATGGTTGCTGAAGAAGTGGACAAAGACATGGAAAAGAAGGAAGTTTCAGCCGAAGAGATTGCCAAAGCCAAAGCACATCCCAAGACTGCGATGGCCGTGGTCGCAAAGTTGCATAGACAGCTTGGTCACCCAGGACGTGTTCGCTTGCTGGTTGCCTTGAAAGAAGCTAGTATGAGTGAAGAAATCATCGCTGCAGCCAAGGACTACACGTGTGACATTTGTCAAAGCTTCAACCAGCGAAGGCATCATCGTTACCGATGTTGGAGAAGGACATTTTTCACATCAAGTGGGATGACAAGAAGCTGCGTGTCTTGGCAATCATCGACATCTTTTCAAGGTACGATATGAATGCTGAAGTCGTGGCTGAAACCGAAAGGGAAGAGCTGAAAGTGCTGGATGAATGGATCAATGTCTTTGGCAGTTCCGCACAGATCAGGACGGTCGCTTCAGGTGCGCGCATGAGTGAAGCCTTTGTCAACTACATGGATGACAGAGGAACCAAACTGATCCTTATTCCACGTGACGCACACCACAAGATGGGCACCGTGGAACGGCTTCACGCAGTGCGCAGGATGCAGCTTCTGAAGATGAAGAAGGAGAACCCCCCTGTTCTTTGAGGAACAGGCTGAGATCAGTGCACGGGACGTCTCCGGCTCAGATAGTTTTTGGCACCAATGGCGGATGGATGAAGCGTTGAAGAATGCTGCTGAACCGAGTAAACAGCATCAACAACTTCAAGCAATGAGGCTTTCAGCAGCAAAAGCATTCTATGAAGCCAACTACAGCCAAACTCTTCGAAAAGCACTTTTGAGCCAGAGCCGTGCACGAATACAGCAGTACTGTGCTGGAGATTGGGTGTACTACTGGAGGGAGAGCGATTCAAAGTTGGACATCAGTCGACGGCGAGGACCTGCAATCATTCGTAGCATGCAGCCACGAGCAGCATCAAATGCCAGAGTCATCATACAGGGCTTTCGCCATGTTGATGTTGTGAGGGAGAATTTGGTTCGAGAGTCACCAACACTCAGTCGGCTGGGTCGCATGATGGTGATGGTTTGGGCTGTTCATCGTGGATGGAAACTTTGGTGCGCAGACATCAAGTCCGCATTCATGCAGGCAGACTCCATCGATGACAAGACCCGGATCTATGTGAAGCCGACGTCTGACATGAGGAGAAAGATTGATGGGGTTGAAGTCCTATGAGATTCTGAAGGCAACCAAACCTGCATTTGGAGATGTCCGGGCACCAAGGCAATGGTTTGATACGGCAGATGCTTACCTCACCAAGGACCTCAAGTTGATTAGCCACCCACTGGACAGATGCCTATACATGTCATTGCGAAAAGCATATCATGGCGACGAGGAGTTCCTGACCTTTGAGCATGAGCAGGGGTGGTGGATCGTTGATGGTGTTGTTGGTTTGCGCGTTGACGATTTCATTGGTGCAGGTGAAGGAGTCGCAGCGCTACAGGATGTGAAGAATGATCCTGCTGGTTTGTGCGAATGCTTCCAAAATCGGATGTTTCATCTATCCACCAGGTTCCGATTCGGCAGCTGGGATTTTGGAGACACGATGCGCTTTTGTGGAGCTGAAGTGCACCAAACACCAGACAGGGAGACAGTGACGATTTCCTTGCAGCAGTATGTCAACAAGATCAAACCGCTTAGTCTGGAGAAGACAAGAAAGGTGATGACAGAGGACTACTGCGCTGAGCGAGAGCACAAGCAATTGAGAGCACTTGTTGGTGCCATGTCGTGGCCGGTGACGCAGTGCTTGCCTCAGGCATCAGCAGCTATCAGCTTTCTGCAGGCTTCGATCAACAAACCCCAGATCAAGGACACGCTAGAGGCCAACAAATGCCTTCGTTTTCTGAAGGAAGTTGTCAAAAGCTATGTGTTCACTGTCCGTTGTCATTGCCCCTTGGATCAACTTCGTGTCAGCCTCTATTGTGATGCAGCATGGTCGGTGCGACCAGATGGTTCTTCACAGGGAGGCATGTTGATGTTCTTATCCAGTCAAGCTGAATTGGATTCCAATGAGCCGTTTCCTTTGACGATCATTGACTGGTCAAGTAAAGTTGATCCGGATGTGCAGGAGTTCATTGTCAGCTGAAGCACAGGCAGCAACCATCTGGACGAGTTGGAGTGGACGAAAGTTTTCCTTGCAGCAATGGTCAATCCACTCACCCACATACAACTCGATGAGACAACGCACAAGTTTGGTGAATCTGCTGTGATCACTGATGCCAAAGCTCTTTTTGACAGCGCAACAACAGTGACATCGGGACTCAGGTTGTCGGAGCGTCGTACGGCCATTGAGATTTGTATCTTGAGGGAGAGGTTGACAGCATCCTTGTCCAAGGTACGTTGGTGCAATTCCCTGCAACAGTTGGCCGACGGTCTGACCAAGGGAGCAGCAAAAGATGCATTGGCTCATGTGTTGTCAAGGGGTGTGCATTTGTTGCGCTTTGACCCCAGCTTTGTGGCAGCGAAAAAGGTTCCTTTTGAGACTCGCAATCGTGAAGAGAAGGAGCTGGAGAAGGCTGCAGAAGAACTCTTCGATGGACAGGTTTTTCAGGTGGAAGGTGTGAGGGAGAAGGAAGCTCAAGGGCTTTGCAGATTGGCTGGATGCAAGAAACCCGGTGATGTGAGCAGTGAAAGACACGCATACTGTTCACGAAGACATTTCTACTTGCATCAGTTCAGGAAAGGACAAAGTGGAGATGAATGGCAGAAAGCAGCTGTGTGCGCATTGACCCTCCTTGCAGCCGAAAACTTGGAGATGGCAGAAGCAGCTAGCACAAACACGGATGAGGACAACAAGTTCTTCAACACACTGCTTGTGATCTCCATTTTTGCAGTCATTGGTGTTTTCAGTTCGGTGCAAGCAGTTCGAAGTGTGGTCATTTTTGTCATGGACTTTTCCAAGAATTGGTACCACCGTGTGTATGTCCGAGTTGTTCCGAATGACATGGCTTCTGAGAATTTTCACGCACGGTGCGAATGACCCGGAGGTGTCCGACGAGGACATGAATGAGAATGAACAGGACATGATCGACTGCTCAGCCGAGGAGTTGGAACGCTGGAAGCAACTGTATGATGAGGTGATGCAAGAGGGTGAGCAGCAGGGGTACCCAGAGATTTGCAAGTTCATTTGGACCTACAAGGTTTCGCAGTCCATGCGGAATCATGTGGTGGAACACACTCTATCCACCGTGAGGATCCGTGAGTACCTGAAGCTGACTCAAAAGAAAACCAATGATATGGCCAATGACTCCGAAGTCAAACAGTGGCGCAGGCTCCTGAACGCACACTTCGTTCTGATCTTCGAAATTCACATGGAGACGAGAAGAAAAGATGAACAGATGGCTCAATTGCAGCAATTGGTACATGCGCAACCTGCCATGGTGACGCGAGGCACCGATTCTCGAGACCGTAAAGGACAAGAGAAATCCAGGTTTGAACGTGGCTTAGCACGAGATCGGATTCAGCTGCACGTTCATTTCGACCATGAGAAAGGCGACGTGAGCCTACTCGGTCAAGGGCCGGCAGGAGCATGGGAGCATGTGAGTTGTTATGAGGACGCGTTGAGAAGCTGAGAGCCGGGCCAATAATTTTTGAATGTTTGCCAAGTGCAGCTGAGTGTTGGAATACTTTTCAATTTTCACCACCGATCTGACTTCAGTTGTCACTCGCTTCGAACGCATAGATTTGTGTATGCCGTCTGGCCATTTAACCTTAAGGGCCCTTGAGCGCGGTCGAGCTATGACCTTCGTTGTGCGCGTGAGTTGAAAGGTTGTCACGGACTTCGGGAGCCGAACGACTTCGATTACATTCAGATCTATAATATATTGTACACAGTATGTTGTATTGTATTGTATAGAATACATACATATATATATATATGTTATACTGCGAACCGTTTTCCATAGGAATCAGTGTGCAGAAGCATAGCATTACTACCATCATAGAAAGAACAGTTTACTTGTATGTGAGTTGATTGCAGCCCTGTTGCAAGACAAGGAAAAGTGCGTATGGTAGCAGAGCTGAGAAGGAGGTAATCCCTCTGGAGCTAAAAGCCCCTAGGTCACTGGGATCCCGGGTGCGATTTCGAGCCATAGATTTGGGGCCTCTGGAACCCAAACAGCTGGACTGGTGAAGAATTGTTGTGAGCAACGCTCTGTACCCAGTACATTGTGTCGGAGAGACGCTAGTACAAGGAGAAGATGGAGGAGATCAGAGAAATCCTTCAAGCTATACCACAGAGTACGCTGGCAACAACATCAGCAGCTGAGGCAGTGAAGAAAGCAGTTGAGGACAAGAAGTCATCAACTACAGACGGGTCAAAGCTGACAGCAAAGCCCAATATCTTTGACTAAGAGTCACAAGAATTATAGACTAATGCATTCAAAGAGCGGTCATGGGTCTTTGAGAAGCACTCGAGTGCAGTTGATGAGGGCTACGTGAAAGATTTGAAGGAAATTCATGACAAGCCAAAAGACAAGTTTGACATGGAGTTGGCTGATGATGCAGAGAAGAGCAGGCGTATCAAGCTCTATGGATTGTTAGCTTCATTGGTGAGAGGAAGGGTGCTAGCATTGGTGAAAGCTGTGGAAGACTTTAATGGACTTGATGCCTGGAGTTTGAATAAAGCTTTGAAACCAACTTCAAAGGCAAAAGGCTTGGCATTGTTGGGGGCACCCACTACATGGCCAGCATTTCAATGAACAGTGCACTACAACCTCAACTCTTGAAGCTTGAAGAAGTTTTTTTATGAGATAGTCAAGTCAGGGACTACAAGTCAGGAAGAGTTGAAACCTGCTATTCTTTTGAGATGTGTGGGCTCCTGCTTGTGGATTAGTCCATAGTGAATCTACATTCGAGCATTGCCGTGATCAGAAGTGGAATATTCACCGCTCATTCAAGGTCCTTTAGAAAGATCATGAGCCCACAATTCCCACGATGAAGCGCCAGAACATGTGCCAGTCCGTGTTGATAGAAGAAGAAGACCAAGTCTGGAAATTCGAGGTAGAGATTGATGAAGGGACATCAACATCCAGGCCTCAAGAATTCGCTTTTCTTGTGTCAGCAGCCAGAAGCTGCAGACTGAAGCATTTTACTTTCACACTTAAATCATCAGGAAAGAAAGCTGTTCGGCCGAAGCAAAAGAACAGGACATTCAAGGCTTGTTAGACAACAAAAAATGCCGCGTTCTCCGACACAAAGTCCAGCGAGTAACATCCAAAAATGCAGAAGAAAATGATGCAAACTTGGAAAAGAATGCAGCCAATCGTGGGCACAGTCCGACGCTCTCCAAAGTTAAGCGCTCCCTTCTTGTGGTCTCGTGAACTTTCGAAGGCTCTGACCGAACTAGGTTTCTCGGCTGTTCCGTTCAACCCCGGCTGCTTCATCTTGCTCGTTGAGCGCAATCAGACGACGGTCTTGTAAGGGTGAGACTTCGACTTGCGCAACAAGATCAAACAAAAAAGGCCTTTGTCTTTACCGGTCCGCAAATTCACCAACAAGGATTACTGTTGACCAAACACAATATACCAAAGACATCAATCCCATTAGTATTGACAAAGAAGGAAGAAAACGCCCCGAAGAACCCCTTCCAAGAAAATCTCAAGGCTTGCTGCAACCACCTTTTGAGGTGAGGCGATGTTCCTGGGAAATTGCCACCAGCCTGTTCGTCATTTAAATTAAACTTGAACTGAATCAAGAGGGGAGGGAGGGCGGCCTCGTTGAAGCTTCCAAGAGGGCAGGGTGTTGGTGTGAAAAGGAGCGGAGTTTGCAGTGTTGGGTGCAGGACACCAAGTGTTGAAGCAGGGCTTGTTCTGAACATTGAGTTCGTCATCCTTTGCTTGGTATTCCTCTTTGTGAAAGCTCAATCACCGCAAGGCTCACTACCAGTTTTGAATCCCTATCGGATTCGATATAGAACGTGATGTGCGTACAAGAAGTTGTGATGATATATATAGTATATGAAACATAATATAGATATAGTACATCATATACATATATATATACACTTACACACAATGAACGGATATTTTACAAACCAATTTACATTTTTTTTGGGTTTCCCTCTTGGAATCTCATGATGAACCATGATTCGGCAAGAACAATCCCGCGTGCCGCCGGCACAACGGCATCCTGGATGTGTGACACTTGAGGTGAAGATCTGCGACCTGGGCAGCGCTATGGAGCTCACCGAGGCCGTGAGGACCAGAAGGAAATTGACAAAAACAAAGAGAGATGACATTTTTCACATATTTTCATACATTTTCAATTTTTAGGCCGCGAGGTGGTAGCTAGAAGCTTCTCTTAGTTACAAAGCTACTAGCTACCCGACGACGGAAAATTCAGACTTCTTCAAGGAAAACTGCTTTGAAGAAAACCTCGCACTATTCATTTGGTTCGTAGACTTTTGGGAAAACTTACCTTTTTGAGGCCTTCCTTACCTTGCTTTGTTATGTCATTTTCTTCCTCTATGCTCTTTTGAGTAAGATCTGTGTCGAATCCATGTCGGAAACATGAGCGTGGTCTCAACCGAAGGCTGATCTGTGATACTATACCACAGTGAATTTCAATTTATAAAGTGGTCTGTTCTTTTCGCTTTTGTGGATATTACACTGGGGGCGGCTTAGGCTTGGCCTTGAATAGCAGGATAGCTTGGAGTATGAACTATATGTGTTTATACTGCCTGAACAAGATACAACGCAGACCTCCCAGAACAGGCGCTTGAATATTGAATAGATCTGAATAGGTAATGTTTCGCTTGCAATGCAAACATGTCAATGAATCCATTTGATTCCTTGTGCCAATTCACTCTGAAATCCTCCAAGACAAAAGTTGCCTTTGGTCGAAAGACAACAAAGCACGCTTCACACTGGCAGACCTGGTGGTTTGCAGAGTGAACCGGGGATTTGTACTTTGGCACTCAACCCCGAACCCAACAATTTTTCCACGCGAGCCTTCGGCCAAAAGCCTCAAGGTCTATCCACTGCTAGGTAAACTTTGGCTAATAGCCTCCACAGCCTCCACTCTGGGTGTCAAGGTGGCCTGTGTGGAATTCTCATGGTGTGCTTCACGGAGTTTCGACGCAGTTACAGGTGGAGCCAACGCCCTACCTGGTGTCTCGCTTCTACCGAGCTCCAGAGATTGTGCTGGGAGCCAAGTGCGCTGTGGGAGGATGAATTGGCCGATTTGGCAATCAGATGCGACATGCATGGGAGTGGCCCAGGGCTATCAGGAACTGATGGATTGTTCCATAATACTCTACTTGGACAGCTAGCAACATTGCTAGCGTGTCTTTTTTTTGGTGGGCAACCGTTTGGCAGTGCATCTGAAAGTTGGAATTCTGTGGAGTAGGAGCTGCACAGCCTTTGACGAACATGCATTGAAGGTGTGAGTTGTAGACTCTGTAGACACTTGTTGAGAACATGCAAAAAACATGCCTGCTTGTCCGATCCACTGGAAAATCGCTTCTTTAGGAGCTTTCCAGGCCGGTTTGCCGTCCTTGAATTATCCATGCATTTTGGAGGTACTCCTACCCGCTAGATGTCTTCGCCATGGGATGCACATTGCACGAGCTCTTCACCGGGAAGATCCTCTTTCCAGGGAAGTCAGGGCACCAAGTCGACTTGGGACGCTTGGGATGTAGACAACAGCGGGCCTTGATCAAGAGCCCTTCTTTCAAGCTTGGTGGATGGTACAGTTCTCACAATTGTTAGTTTTTTGATTCACCAAGGATCTAGATTGGACACTCCCCCCCCCACTAACAGCCAAAAAATAGACTTAAACTTAAACACCCACAAAAAAAAAGCACAACCAAAAGCAGAGCAGAAGCCAGGGTCCAAACCCAAGGCAAATTCACAGGTGCATTCCCGGCCACATGAGCAAGGCCATTCCAAAACAAGGGGTGCTACAAGGTTTAAAAAAAACTACTGGAAAAATGTGGCTGAGTAAAACTCAGAACAGAAGCGCAGCCGCAGCTTCATTGCGAAAGGAGAACCACATCACCGCCAGCAGCAGGCCCTTCTGCAGCGGTGGGAGGCTTTCGCTTTGCAGCCAGATGTGAATCTGCAGGGCTTCCTTTTGCTGCAGACAGGTTTTTGCTCTGCAGCCAGATGTGAAGCTGCAGGTTTTCCTGTTGCTGCAGACAGTTTTTCGCTTCACAGCCAGGAGTGGAACTGCAGTTTTGCTGTTCGACTGGAGGGAGGCTGCCACTGGCCAAAAACTGCACCTGCAGTTGTGGACTTTTTGCTCCGGATGTCTGCCACAAGTTTTTCAAACTCCCAGGGCAACATAGCACAAAAAAAACCACAACTCCGAGGACAACATATCACAAAAAAAA